AGCAAGATGATTGGGCAGAGCTACTCCCATTGGCGGAGTATGCTTACAACAACTCGGTTACCACCGCCACGGGTCAATCTCCGTTCTATACCAATTACGGTTACAACCCAAGAACCAACTGGTCGACGGAAGCCGAAGTGGTCAACCCAACCAGTGACCTGTACGCTCACTTTATCCGAGGGGTCCACGATTCTGCTTTCGCCCGCTTGACAGACACCAGGGAGAAGATGGGGAAATACTATGATCGGAAAAGGGACGAACCGTCTAACTTCAAGATAGGAGACGTGGTTATGCTCAACGCGACCAATATTAAGACACGTCGCTCTACCAAGAAACTCGGTCATAAGAAGCTCGGCCCGTTTAAGATTGTCCGACTAGCCGGGAAACGAGCCTGCGAATTGGAACTGCCACCACAAGTCAAAATCCATAACGTGTTCCACATCGAACTCTTGGAACATTACCGACAGAGCAGTATCCCAGGCCGTGAACAACGTCCCCCAACTCCTGAAGATATCGATAAAGATGGAGAGGTACTGTACGAAGTGGAAAGTATCGTGGGAAGCCGGAAAAGTAGAAGAGGATTAGTGGAATACCTGGTGAAATGGCGGGGCTATTCGATGAGCGACTGTACATACCAAGTCATGGACGCTATGAATGAGGAGGTACTTGACCTAGTTTGCGACTTTCATCGAAGGAACCCCAAGGCCGTGAAGGACCAACGCCTGAGACTATAGAGGTACCCTACGGGGCTAAGTCCTTCCCCTCCACAGACACCGCGGGTGATATGTGGAGCAGGTTTACTGGAACCATAGTCTGTCAGAAGATGTCCCGAGACGTGACACCCTGGAAGGGGGGTAAGCTGTTACGGGCATGCCAAGCATTTATGAAAAGGCCAGTAGATACCCCAATACCCTCTGTACGCTAACGTCAACTCTGGACCGCACCCGCGGGGTGTGGTGCGACCAATATACGACCAAAACACGGAGTTATAAAAAATACGTTTTCGACCCCAATAATAACCCCCGGAGCGTCAAACCGCCGGAGGGGAGTGCTTTGGTACCGGTGGATATATGAGGGACAGCTGGAAGCAATCGGATCGAAGATCGGATCACTCGGAGCGAATCGGCGCAAGCTACCAGCCGACCGAGTACCTATCGGCGGTACCTATGGGCATGAGAGGACTCTGCTATGTGGGAAAGCGATGTGGGAAGAGGCCTGAGTAGGTAGCCTTGCCGTCCAAGACCTACGAGTAGCCGACGCTGACGATTATCCACCAGACGGCCGATGGAGAAGAAACATCGACAGGGAAACGTACATTAGAGTGGGTAAATAGGTTGAGGGGTTTCAGCGGGTTTAGGAGTTTGGGTTACGGACTTAGGAGTTAAATGTTCTTGGTTGTTTTTCAGGGTCTTGGGTAGGCCCCGAGTGTATTCTGTATTATTAGTAGACTGGGTCCTCGAGACATAAGCGAGGGATATAAATACTGTGTCATTCACTGACTAGCCAAACCATCATCGGCGAAATCAGAGTCTTAACAATATAAATCGTTGATACGCGAGTTACAACTTTATTTGACTATACTTTTGGAAATACTTTACTCTATCGTGACTTCGAACTCTACCTGAACTATTACGTCGAAGATGGTCGAACATCATACGCTAACTCTAGTGAATCTTTGTTGATAACGTAGCTCGCGGGGCCCGTATCGGATCAAGGAGATTCATACTCGACGTTGACTGAAGAGACCTTGGAGACTTCTACCTTTGTAGCTGTTAGCCGAACTCTGAGCTCTGCGTAGTGTACTCTTGTGGTCTGGTACGCATCCCTCACACTCCTGCTCCCGCTCTTCTCTTGCGATCCTCAGTTGTCGCTCCGCCTCCGCCAGTTGATTCTGGGTATTCCGATGGTTACGATGCAGAACCTCGTGGTCGCCGGCTCGTGCAGCTTCTTGTACTTGTCGAACATTTTCCACGAGCTCGAAGAGCGATTCGAGATGTTGTTTTTGGGCAATGGCTTCTTGCCGTACTTTCTTGTCCAGGATTTGCCCACTCCCTTGGACTTGTTCCTGGAGGTTTTGTAGCTGCTGCCAAACGGCCTGTCCAGCTGCACCAAGATACCTCATTTGTGCCTCATGGGTATCCAAAAACTCCTGCATATTCCTCACGAACTGGGCTTGAGCAGAGCGTTTACTCGATTGCATAGTTTGTGTAGAGGGTCCTCCCGTAAGTAGGGGATCTGGGCTAGCAGCCCTCGATATTACCATAGAATCTTCCCCGGCCTCCTCAGTTACGGCCGAGGTATCTATGAAATAATTATCCCTTCTGGCAGTCATTGTGATAGGGATAATGATGATAGTTCTTCTTTTTGAGGTGACTTCGTTACTCCAAGTGAACTTGTGAGTAACAATATACTGTGAGGGATGCGTACCAGACCACAAGAGTACACTACGCAGAGCTCAGAGTTCGGCTAACAGCTACAAAGGTAGAAGTCTCCAAGGTCTCTTCAGTCAACGTCGAGTATGAATCTCCCTGATCCGATACGGGCCCCGCGAGCTACGTTATCAACAAAGATTCACTAGAGTTAGCGTATGATGCTTCGACCGTCTTCGACGTAATAGTTCAGGTAGAGTTCGAAGTCACGATAGAATAAAGTATTTCCAAAAGTATAGTCAAATAAAGTTGTAACTCGCGTATCAACGATTTATATTGTTAAGACTCTGATTTCGCCGATAATGATTTGGCTAGTCAGTAAATGACACAGTATTTATATCCCTCGCTTATGTCTCGAGGACCCAGTCTACTAATAATACAGAATACACTCGGGGCCTACCCGAGACCCTGAAAAACAACCAAGAACATTTAACTCCTAAGTCCGTAACCCAAACTCCTAAACCCGCTGAAACCCCTCAACCTATTTACCCACTCTAATGCACGTTTCCCTGTCGATGTTTCCTCTCCATCGGCCGTCTGGTGGATAATCGTCAGCTTCGGCTACTTGTAGGTCTCGGACTGCAAAGCTACCTACTCAGGCCTCTTCCCACATCGCTTTTCCACATAGCAGAGTCCTCTCATGCCCATAGGTACCGCCGATAGGTACTCGGTCGGCTGGTAGCTTGCGCCGATTCGCTCCGAGTGATCTGATCTTCGATCCGATTGCTTCCAGCTGTCCCTCATATATCCACCGGTACCAAAGCACTCCCCTCCGGTGGTTTGATGCTCCAGGGGTTATTATTGGGGTCGAAAACGTGTTTTTTATGACTCCGTATTTTGGTCGTATTTTGGTCGCACCACACCCCGCGGGTGCGGTCCAGAGTTGACGTTAGCGTGCAGAGGGTATTGGGGTATCTACCAGCCTTTTCTCGTAAATGCTTGGCATGCCCGTAACACTCCAGACCTCACTACCTTTCGCTTCATTCATCGTTTTTTCCCGCTGGTCCGCTTTTGCCTTCCGGATCATGACTGTCCATTCTCTACATGCCTTCCGGTGCTCCTCCACGTGGTTGGGTTTCCTCGTATTTCTCGCCTTCCTTTCTGCCGAGTTTACCCTTGCCTTCATTTGTTTCATCTCGTCTGACCACCAGGAATTGGCTCTTACACCCTCCTTCGAGAGTGGCGTTACTATATTGATTGTTGACTTGACCAGTTCTAGGAAGAATTCGACCGTTTGTTCTGTGTGTTCCTTGGTTTCCCATGCCTCTGCGGGGAGGGAAAGATTTGATATGTAGTTATCCAATAGCTTCCAGTCTGTTTGTTGCCACAATCATCTTGGTACAAAGGGTGGTTTTTCCAAGTGTAGGTGGACGGAGGTTCTCCCTTGGTCTGAGCCCGCTCCATAGGGTTCAGTGCTCCATCGTAGGTTGTGGTCAAGTACTGGTCCTTTTATAAATGTAAGGTCGATAATTGTGGGCCTTTTCCCTCTGTCTCTAGGGAAATGCGTATAGACTCCTGGTTCATTCAGGAGGGTCAGTCTTTGTCGGGTTATCCATTGTTTTAGCCGTGCACCATTAGCGCGGTCTGCTCGAATGTTGTTTCTGTATTCATGTGAGGTTACTCCGTACCACATTTGGTGGTGGCAGTTGAAGTCTCCCATTACTAGGCAGTTGTCGAGGGTTTGGATTGTGTTTGCTATTTGGGCGAAGGGGCCACTTCGGCCTGGGGAGTATATGTTTAGGATTTGGGTTTTCTTATTCTGGATTTCTACCGTAATCGATACTATAAAGTTGTTGTAACGGAGCCATTTCAACTGTCTGGTGTATGAGTACATACAGGGCCCGGTTACATGCTGAGAGTTATTGTTAGAAGCCAGTTGCACGGTGATATGCAAGTACCGGCAGTGTGGTTAGCTACCAGCTGTTAGAGTAACTACATTCCGGGCGCTAGGAAGGGGATCTATTCACGGGAGCAATGACTGACGAGTCTATGCCTCGCCAGTGACTAGAAGACCGGCCAGAGTGAAGCTCTGATTGCCCGGTGATCCTCTGTATCCTCCAAAGCATTATGAGTCCACCGAAGGGCAGGGACTATCCTAGGGAAGTCTACAATAAGCGAAAGCTCTACAGCAATGATTAAGCTTACACCTGAGCGGCAGCTCATTCATGCAGGCCCTCGGTTGCGTGGCAACCAAGGCTGCAGGTGTTACAAAGGCTTTGACTAAGGGTGATTGCCTTGGGTATCGGAAACACCTGCTGACGCTTAGAGAAAAGCGGGGTAGCGGTGGTATTGTTTCCGGCACCGAGGAAAGGCTCCACTGGAACTTAGTAAGGAGTTAGGAGCAGAGAATAGAGGCCTTCGGAGTATAAGTACTCAGGTTCATTCTCGCCCTTCAGTCCTGTTCTCTCCAGTCTTCATCAGAAAGAAAAACCAAGTTCTTATCGGTAGCAGAGCCCTTAAAGATTATTGAGTTCTAGCGATAGTATCTTTGAATAAACTGCAACCTGATTGTCTATCTTGCACGGCCGTCTCTATTTTACTTTATTCTATTCTTCTTAGAAGAGACCCCCGTTACAGCTCTTCAAGGATTTCAATCCTGTCGGAGGGTGGGCAGATCCGGCTGGTTGCATGTCTAATGGCCCAGGTGATGTAGTTTAGGTCTGTCTGGGTGTGCGTAGTATGGGGGACAGTGCTCGGATAGAGATAGTCAATTCTCGGTTGGTATGGGTCATTGTAGTCAGATTCTGTTGCGAAGGTCGAGGAAAATTCCTGCTCCTGTGTTCCGGATGGGGTTGGGTCGGGATCCTGAGTGTTCCTGTTCTGTGGGGGGGCTGTCCCTTGTGGGGAAGACTGGGTGAAGAAGGACTGGAGTGAAGCTTGCTGCGACATAACTGAATGTCCGGTTCTTCTGGCTGCGTAGAGTGATGTTTCGGATAAGTTTCTTTTCCTTCCTTTCGGGAGGTCAAGGCTGGAGAATTCTTCGCTAGAAGCCAGTTTTCGTAGGGTTTCTTTCGCTTGGAACAACAAACGCGACCGTACGGTCAGGGACGAGGTGGTTCAGCCTGGTATGGTATACCAGGGTAAACCAAAGTAATGAGAAGTAAAAGGTAGAGCAAGTAAAGTATACGATAATAAAATGTTTTTCGAAGCGAGATTTATTGTCAGGAAGTTTTGCGAGCCAGAGGCGAGCGAGTAGAATACAGAAGAAGAAGAAGAAACTTATATTGCTTTGAAGTACAAGACTTATCGCACGCCGATCCAACCGCCTAAAAACAAAACCGAACCGAACCGAAAAGAAAAAGAGAAAGAAAAGCAACGAACCCAAACAAACAAACAAACAAGAACAAAACGAACACGAACAAAGTCAAGAAATTTCAAAGACAACACGCAATCAAAGAAATCCAACGACAAGGAAAGATAACCTACCTCAGCGGACTCAAGCGCTGGATCCATCGAAAAACAAAATTAAAAACAAAGACAAAAAATAACAGATAAAAGGAAACTTCCCTTCCTAATCCTGTCCCTAGTCATTTTCTTCCATCCCCTCTTCCAGGTCCGCTTCCGCCTCCGCCGACTCGTACCATTTCGAGAGTTGAGATTTCTTTGCAAATTGTAGGATGAGGTCCGTTCTCAGGTTTGTAAACATCCAGTTTTCCCAGGTCATCGCTCCGGGGATTTTCTCTATCAGAGGGACGCGGATTCGAGCCCACGCTGGGCATTCGATGAGTGTGTGTTTCGCTGAGTTTTCCATACCACACTGGCATGGTTCGGGGTCTGTGTGTACTGCGTGTTTGTCGATTCGGGTGGTTTGACATCGAATTCGAAAAACCTTTTTCGCTTCTGTGAGAGTAAGTTTCGCAATCTTGGGAGGGGGGCGGAATTCCCCCCGATGGTGGTAGTTAGGTATTGGTTGTGTATTCCATTCTTCTAACAGTTGGTCGCGTAGTAGTTTATTTTGGTTCCACTTGTCTCTCGTATTTCCGGGTGTTTGGTGTGGGAGTAAGAGGGAGGCGATTCGGTGCAGGCCTGTCCCTTTGATGTTTGCTTCTCTGTATGGCAGGAGCTCGATCAGGGATTCATTGTTGGGGTGGGTTGCATCGGTGCAGAGTATTCTGGTTCCGTACTTTCTTGAGCGATATGTCAGGAGGTGTTCTAGGGGGGGTAGGCCTGCTTCTCGAAGGAGTTTAGCTCTCTTAGTCCATCGTGGTAGGCCTGTAATGACCCGGGAGGCTTCATTGTATAGTGGTTCGAGGGATCTTATAATGTGGTCTGCGCCAGTCCACCAAGCCTCGGATCCATAGAGCAGACTTGGGAGGAAGCCTTGTGTTATAAGGTGGTGAATTGTTTTAACTGTTATGCCTGGCTGGCGGGCAGTGTTTCGAATCTGGTGGAGGGCTTTCAGGCCTTTTGCGATCGCTGCTTCGATGTGGGGCCGGAAGGAGAGGGTCGGATCTATCCAGACTCCTACATATTTCAGCCTTTCCTTGCAATATATATTGGTATTGTTGATTTTAACTGGAAGTCGCGGTTGTTGTGTGGATGATGTGGTGGGCCGGAAGAAGATCAGGTCGGATTTATCCGGGTCGTATTTAATTTGGAGTGGCTCGGCTTTTATTAGTCTTTCTCTCATTCGTTCCTCCATTCTCTTGATTGTGAAGCCTGGTGTTTTGGATATTTGCACCAGCGCATCGTCATCGATGTATGTAGTGTCCATCTCTTTCGGGCTGCTTGTTGGGTCCAGGATTACTCCGGCATAGATCATAAATAGTACTGGGGACATGGGGCTACCTTGCGGCACTCCAGAATCATAGGGCTGTGGTTCCTCTAGCTCATGGTTAAATTGGAACTGTAGTTGTCTGCCGGTGTTGAATTCCTTGCACCATTCTGTTAAGTAGGTAGGGAATTTTTGTTGGTGCATGATTTCCGCGAGGAGTAGGTGGTCGACACAGTTAAATGCTCCTTGGATATCGTTGGTTAGGATCGCTGGTCTGTCTCGCCGAGCGATTCCGGTACTGTTTTTCAGTAGTAGGTTTTGTTGTATTGGTGTTAAGGTTTTCAGGAGGGTGTCGATTGCCGAGATGGTTGGTCTTCCTCCAAATTGATTCGCTGAGAGTGTGCCTAGGATTTCTCCAGCGGTGCAGAGTCTTCGAGCCACTATCTTCTCTAGGATTTTGCTGAAGCATTGTAGAAGGGAAATGGGCCGGTAGGCTTTTGCTTCATGATAGTTTGCTTTGCCGGGTTTCGGGATCGGGATACACTTAGCTATTTTCCATTCAGCTGGGTGTACTCCGTCCCGGAGCATGGCGGAGAACATGTCCTGAATTAGAGTTGTGTTTGCTCTGACTATTGCTTTAATAAATGTGTAGGGAATACCATCCGGGCCGGTTGCCGAGTGCGCTGGACAGGAGTCGATTGCTTTATTAAGTTCTTCGGGGTTGACTATGTCGAAGGTGTTGCTAAGGTCAAAAGAGGGGGGTCTAATGTTTAGAGAGGGATGGTCGGGGGACGTCCGTTTTGAGGGGAAAAGTTGGGCTCTTAGAGCTTGACACTTCCCCGCAAACGTTTCTTCACCTTGTATGGTTGGTATGATTGTGTCTCTTCTCCTTCCTGCGTTTAGCATTCTCCAGACCTCACTACCTTTCGCCTCGTTTATCGTCTTTTCCCGCTGGTCCGCTTTTGCTTTCCGGATCATGACTGTCCATTCTCTGCAAACCTTCCGGTGTTCCTCCACATGATTGGGTTTCCTTGTGTTTCTCGCTTTCCTTTCTGCTGCGTTTACCCTTGCCTTCATTTGTTTCATTTCCTCTGACCACCAGGAGTTGGCTCTTACCCCCTCCTTCGAGAGTGGTGTTACTATCCTGACTGTTGACCTGACCAGTTCTAGGAAGAAATCGACAGTTTGTTCCGTATGTTCCTTGGTTTCCCATGCCTCTGCAGGGATGGAAATGTTTGACATATGGTTCTCCAATAGCTTCCAGTCTGTTTGTCGCCACATTCGTCTAGGTACAAAAGGTGGTTTTTCCAAGTGTAAGTGAACGGAGGTTCTCCCGTGATCTGAGCCTGCTCCATAGGGTTCGGTGCTCCATCGTAGGTTGTGGTCGAGAGTTGGGCCTTTTACAAGTGTGAGGTCGATAATTGTAGGCCTTTTTCCTCTGTCTCTGGGGAAGTGCGTAAAGACGCCTGGTTCATTCAGGAGGGTCAGTTTCTGTCGAGTTATCCATTGTTTTAGCCGTGCACCTTTGGCGCGGTCTGCTCGGATGTTGTTTCTGTATTCATGTGATGATACTCCGTACCACATTTGATGATGGCAGTTGAAGTCTCCCATTACTAGACAGTTGTCGAGGGTTTGGATTGTTTTTGCTATTTGGGCAAAGGGGCCGCTTCGGCCTGGGGAGTATATATTTAGGATTTGGGTTTTCTTGTTCTGGATTTCTACCGTAATCGATACTATAAAATTATTGTTTGTGTAGTGGTGTTTTGGTTTGAGGTTGGCATGTTTGCGGACGTATGTTGCGCATTTTGTATTGGTGTTGCTGGCTGTAAAAATATAAAAGAGGTTTGATTCTGGTAGGAATCCCTCTGCTGAGGTCCATGGTTCTTGTAATAATAGGAAATAAATGCTAGAGTCAGTTTCCGCTTCTTCTACCGCCGCCTTGGTAATAAGTTCGCTCCGTGCACAATTGAGTTGATGTGCGAGCGCGGTGGTTCGAGGCCTAAGCATTATTTGTCATGTGTTGGTCGTCTTCGGGAACGGGTGTGGCTCCGACTGGGGCGGTGGCTGGTACTTGAACTATCGGAAGCAACTCTTGGACGGGTGCGGCCGGTGGGTCTTGAGCAGGTGGGGCGTTTTCCTTTCCTTTGTTGAGGAATCGGCGTTTGACTCTTTCGGGGCATGCTGGGTCGGAGGCCTTATGGATTCCTTTACAGTTCAGACATCTGATTGGGGTATGGGTGCATCTATATCCTCCCTGGCATTGATTGCATGGGTGGAAGCTGGTGAGATGGTCTCCGGCACAATGACCGCATTTCCCGTTGTTTTTGCATTTCTCCTGGCGGTGACCGTATTCAAGGCATTTCGCGCATTGGGTGTCTGGGAAGGTTGGGAGGAAGGCCTCGATGTAGCAGCTTCGGTTAAAGAGGGATAGGAACTTAACTCCTAGTGTTTCCATTGTAACTTGTCCTGGGAGCGCGATGACCATTGATGAGTGGGTTTTCTCCATTCGAGTCTCTGCTCTGGAGATCCAGCGGGGAACCTGGGCAAGTTGGAAGTTTTCTCCATAGTTGCTTCTAATTTCAGATGCTACCAGTTGTCCTGCCTCGACGCCTTCTCCGACCGTTGTGGGAATTCCGTGAATAAGGAACTTTGACCATTTGGAGTTTGCCCGGATGATAGCGACTGGTACTTGTAGGGTGAGGAGAGCCTCCTCAATTTCTTTGGCGTATTCCATTGCCTTCGATGCTGGGGTGACGAACTTTGTTTCCAGGATAAAATTATCCTTGGGTGTTCTCCTTGCTGAGATGAAGTGGCAGGATTCGTCCTGAATTCTTGCATTGACTAGGGTCCTGATCTCGGAGGGATTAACGTCGGATGGAGCAGTGGTTTCAACAATGATTTCTCTGTTGATTTTGGTATATTCTGGTTTGAAGAGGGGGTCCGCTTTTGGCTTTGCGGGCTTCTTTCTTCTCTCGACAACCTGGAAGTTTCCTAGGGCAGGACCGGGTGCCGAGGCCACGGCGGCCCAGGTGCCTGCTTTCCATCCACGGGGTGGGGCTTGTTGGGGAGGTGCAGGTGGGGGTGCCTGAGGAGCTTCCTGTGGCGCTGCTTGGGGGATTGTTTGGGGAACCGCTGGAGGGGCCGTTCTCTTTCTTTGTTGCGGTTGTTGTGGTTG